CACAGACATGCAAGTATTTTCAAGATCAAGTCTCTTTTGTTGGTGACCTGTGAAATATAGACAGACTTGAAGAATGTGAAGGACAGAAACACCAACCATCTCAAAAATGGGTATAACATCTTGTTCAGAGCACTGTTAAGAGGGGAAAACAAGGCAGTGCTGTATGATGCCTAACCCAGTGCCTGACATGCAATAAAAGTTCAATAATTGGTAACAGAAGGAGATGTTGCCATTATTGTATTATGATGATTATTATCTTTCAGGGCTGAGACTGAATTTATGAGGAAGACATTTCAGTTTTATGTGAAGAATATATTTCTAATAGGGTGGAATTAAAAAAACAAAACAAAAACAGAATCTGGCCATTTCTGGGACAGGGTGGTAGTTGTATTTGGGATCTTTTAAGTACTGGGCTAGAGAAGCTTGTGTTGAATGGGAGGACATTATTGTTAACTGTCTCCAACATGGCTTTAAATAAATAGGGCCCTAACAAGAGCTTCCTGAACCTCTGACATGTGTCTTTCTTCTCAGGAAGGGGTCAAGAACTGTAGACATCCATTGCAATCTACCCTAGTGTCTATTCCAGGGAGTAGTGAGGATATTTAATATAATTGCTAAAAAAAAAAAAAAAAAGATTACACAGCATGGTATATGGTCAAGAACTTGAGACTGAATTAGAAAGATCTGGATTTCAATCAGCTCTGCCACTGACCTGCTGTGTTACTTTGCACAAGGTTAACCTCCCAAAGCCTCGCTTTCATAGGGTTACCATAGGGATAATCTGAAATAATAATCATGATAATAAAAACTAATGCCTAAGTGTTTACCAGGTGTTGAACATGGCTCTTATGTCTTTTTATCTATTATCATGTTTTTCACAATAGCCAGTGATAGAGATACTGTCATTATCTCTATTTAAAAGATGATAAAATAGAAGCATAGAGAGAATGGTGAGTAGGTCTAAGTCCTGCCACTCCATGGATGCTTAACCTGGAGCCCACAGACCTTCTGGAGGATCTGAGGATAGAATTCAGTGAGTCTGTGAACTCAGATGGGAAAAAATATATAACATCTTTATTTTCACTAACATTCAGTTGAAATTTAGTATGTCCTTCAGTTATAAATGTAGGCAAAAAAACAAAAACAAAAACAGTGATATTAGCACTGACCTGAGACTTTGTTGCCAGTAGCATCATGGATATTGTCACATCAAATTGCATTTGTAACAGTAGCTCAAAGAATGTTTGTGCTCATCATTACTTTGAAACTGGCCATTAGATCTTGTTATTTAATGTGTTAGTTTAATAGCACATATATTACCATATTCGCAAATTTGGGTTTTTAAAATATTTTATGACTATATTTCAAGACAATGGTTTTCTTTTGTAATTCTGCATCTTTTATTTTATACATTTGAAATCATTATTCTGAGAAGGGAATCCATAGGCTGCACTGGACCAGCAAAGTGTTTATGCTACAAAAAAGTTAAGAACCTTCATACTAGTTCATGGCTGTTAGACAGAAAGCCCTTAGCATAAAGCCAGGTACCTAGCAAGTACTCAATGCACAGAAGCCATTATTATAATAACTATTATTACACCTGTAAAATCCTGGTCATCCGGGAGCAAATCTTTGGAAGTGGTAAGGGACTCAATTCTGTTAACTATACCAGTTGCATTAGTGATAAGGAGGGGAAACACTCAGTCAAGTGAGAGAAAAGGGTTGGAGATTATCAACTGAAACTTCTTCCTTTTGGGGATGAAGAAAAAGATGTGCAGAGAAGGCTGGGTTCAGGGCACATGGCAAATTGGTGTTGAAATCAATACTACCAACCAGGTCTTCTGGAGTCAGTCTTCTGTTCATTATAGGACACAACTTTTCAACATTGGACTTGAAGCCACAGGGTTAGGGTCTCTGTCTCTATGGAAGCGCACACCTCTGCTGCATTTCTTTCTGCATCCTGAGATCCTTGGGATAAGCCCACAGACATCAGATGATCAGACAATGTGGCTTTGTGCAATGATTCTCAGAGTAGGAGCCAGGGCCACTACATTGCAATGGTAGGAAGTGTGTTATGCACACTGGCTCCTGGGCCCCAAGTCAGACCTACCTCATCTGATTCTCTGCAGGGGGAGTTTGGGAATCAGTATTCTTACCAAGCTTGCCCACTGATTTACATGCTCATCCGAGTGAGAACTACTGGCAGAGTAAAGGATAACTCTGGAAATTTAAATCCCAGTTCCACCACTCACTGGTTGAGTCACTTCTGGAAAGTTACTCAAATTTGAGATATATCTCTAAACAGCAAATCCGAAGCATAATTGTACCTACCTTTTACAGTCGCAAGGACCAAATGTGGCGATGCACATAAAGTCCTTACTAGTGTCGGCTCTGCAAATATGCTTCCTGCTGTTGTTGTTGATAATGAGTTGTAACCAACTGGATGGTTACACTAGAGTAATAGTCTGTCCCTCCCCACAGAGGCGTGATTCTCTGTCCTACAAATGAATCCATGAGGCTTTGATGTGTGCTGGTCAGTGACTCCACCCCTTAACAGGTCCTGAGTACTGCAAGAGCAACCTCTGCCTTCCAGACTTCTCTAACTAAAATTATGCCTCTAAGAGAGCACATGGGATCTGCTATGGCTGACATCAAGTGGCCCTATGGTCAATGAAGGTTCTCCAAATCCCAGAGTAAAAACCCTGACTATGATTGCAGATTGTGGTTCACCCTTCCCCTTGCTTGACATTGACATCTTTACGTGTATAGAGAGTAAAGGCTTCATTCCTAGGAGACCTCAGACTTCTGGCTTTGAGCAGCCACTGTGAGTTCCTTCCCCCATCTCTTGTGTTTTTAGGACTTCAGTGCACAGTGGCTGATTTCCAATTGCCAGTAGGCACACCTCTGTGCTTGGGGATTTCTCCAAGGTCATGGAAACCCCTCTGCCCTTGCACATGATAGCCTAGGGGTGTGTGAACATTAGCATCCCTGGAAACCATTCGCAAAGGATATCTGATGGGATCTGGTGTGTAGACACCCAAGCTCCATCATTCTTGGACAGGATAATCCTGAGTGTGTGTCAACAGTCTCTCCCAAAGTTTCCCTGTAGCAACAAGCTCCAGTTGCCCATAGTGGTAGGTGGCATTATAAAGTACCTTTATTGGCTGCTTTTCCTTCCTTACTGAACCCTTCCACCTCCTCTAAGTATTTCTTTTACTTCTCAAACCATTTGCACTCAAATCCTCATCCCAGAGCCTCTTTCTGGGAAAACCATATTCAGACAGGCTTCTACCTGAAAATTTTAAACTCAGTGCTACCAGAGGCCAGGGAGAAAATAAAATTTAATAAATGGTGGAAGAATCCAATCTCCCATCCTTTTCATATTCATGTCTTCTATAACCCAGGTCATTGGTAAAAACAAAAGTTCAAAGCTCAGCAAGACTCTTAATCATTAAGGATAAATTTAGTTATGATAAGGAGACTTGGTTCACTTCCTTGCCTGAAAAATATATTATTACTAAGAGATATGAAAAAAAAAAAACTTCTTACAAAAAAAACCCCACAAACAAACAAACTTCAAACAAAAATTTGTTTGAAAATTTTGTATAAATCGCTCCTGGAAATTTTGTATAAATTGCTGTTAAGTAGAAATTCCCTTCACCTGAAACAATTTCCCATATGTTCTGAGTATTAAAGGCTTAGCTCTCCATGCTGATACTGGTGCCCCCTAGTGAAAAGATACATGGCAACCCCAACAGCCTCACATATAATCAGTTTTATTGCCAGGTAAGAAATTCATATTAATATAGTGAGTACATATGTTTACAAATAAACATTCTTAGAAAACAAACAAATGTTTTTTTTCTTCATTGTAGGAAGTATTATTGGTATCATAAACTCTGCAGTTGGTTGACAAGGATTAACACAGGTTTACTTGCAGAACATACAGTTACTAAAATATTTGCACATAAAATATGTTCCATTTACACAAAAAAAAACGGGGGGTGGGGGGAGTTAGATGGGAATACCAGGAGGAGCCCAAGGCGATGGAGGCTGAGATGCTCTGGAAGGAAAGGGAAGTCAGACTCTGGTCCCACTGGGTTGAAATCAGGTGACAGCCAAAGGCAAGAATTAGATGCTAGTGTCAGGGCATGGCATGAGGAGAGGACAGTCTCTCTGCTTACCTCTGGCTTTCCCTCTTCTAGGTCTCTCTCCCCACCCAGCTATTGGATCCTTGTCTTGGTACATGCAGTCACACACACTACCATAGATCGTCCCCTCTTTCAGAATGGAGACATCTGTCCACCCTCCTAAGAGGAAGACAGAGAATAAATGGACCCTCCCTGTCCAAACTTCCCTCCTCAGTTCATCTCCCACAGCCAACTGGAAGGTGATGAGACTGAGAACCCCTTCTTGGGCCTTCCTTCTTGGGCAGTACTATTGGGAAGTACTTGTCTTCTCGGGCTGTCATCACTGCTACATCTGATTGACCAGGCTGCAACTTTGCTGCCAAAATTACAACTGCAGACCCCACGGAATCCAGTTCACTAGATGAAGTTCACTCAGAAGAGAAGGAGCATGAAGAAGAAATAAAAAGCCACGGATTCAGAGACCCAGAAAGATGCTTCATCAGAGTTGGGATGAGGGTGAGGTGAAATGGGTTGAGGGCAAAGAGCAAAGACCAACTAAAGGGGAGATAAGAATTACAGAACCTCTGGGCTGGAGGGAACCTCATAGATAAGCCGGCCAACTCAGGAATTTTTGAAGTGTGGGCTATGTATCATTAGCGTATGCAAAATGATGGTAGGGAGTACTCGGATACAGCACTATTTAGCACTGACTCAGGAAATGATTCCCTTCTCATTTATGTTTAAAGGAGAAAGTCTCCATTGGGTGCTGGTATCTTTAACCACTCTTTGTCTATGGTTAGTCCCTTCTTAATAGAGAGAGAGCCTGCCAGGCTTTAGGTTCAGACTCTCCCACAGGCAACAGTATCCAGCTCAAATTGAATCATTGCTGCTTTGTTTCCTTTGTACTTAT